GGTGACCATATAGCAACCATGGTACAAACAACTATTCCGGTAACTATGGCACAGATGACCATATAGCAACCATGGTACAAACAACTATTCCGGTAACTATGGCACAAATGACCATCTAAAGACTGATGTAAATGAACCCATAATAATCATCGATAAAATGTGTCAATGAAATAACTATAATTCGGGTAGTGGTGTAAAACGGCTTACAAAAGCATTTAATTAGTGAGAGTCAGACCAAATGAGCAGTATGGATTTAAAGAAATCGTTTAAATTATTCATTATTGTAGGATTGATTGTGCAATGTTGTATCAATGAATATCTAATTTATTAATAGTTTAGAATTAATGCACGAATTGAAGCATAAAATATTGATTAATAAAACTCAAATTTTATGAATAATATAATTCATATTTTTGTACGTACAAATAGCGCCAATATAATTACAAAAAAAATCGTATTCTTGTCTAATCTTATTGAGCGCTATTTATATTTATAAAAGCAAAAAAAAAAATAAAACAAAAACGACAAAAAAAATTAAATTTGTAAAATGCATTATCTTTACTTAGAGTGAGAATTCTCCGAATTAAGTTTTCTGCTCGCCTAAGATATACTGGTTATATTATCAATTTTGCGTATTACTTTTTTAATGTAGCTTTTTATGCTATTACATCCGTACATGTATTCTATCAGTCTAGGGCTAAGTGAATCGCTTGACGATGAACGTTACTTGTTTATTATCATATGATCATTTGTGCTATAATTACCAAGTCGATTTTTTGATCATGGTGTTACTATCATCACTATTACCACGATCACTATGGCGATTTTGACCATAGTTATTATTTGGTCATTTGTACCATTGTTACTATGGGCAATTGTACCACAGTTACTGTGGACATTTGAACCAAATGGTCATTTGTACCATAGTTACAACGGCCATTTTGACCATAATTAGTATTTGGTCATTTGTACCATGGTTGCTATATGGTCACCTGTGCCATAGTTACGTGGTCGTTTGTACCAAAAAAATGACCGTTTGTGCCATAGTTACATGCTCATTTGTACCATAGTGACCTAGTTAATTTTAGTAAAAAAATGGCCGTTTGTGCCAAAAAAATGGCCGTTTGTGCCAAAAAAATGGCCATTTTGACCGCGTTACCGACAGACAGACAGACAGACACACAGACGGACAGACAGACAGACACAGGTGAATTTCGGTTTCTAGACCCTAGCCTTTCAGTCTAGGGAATATGATTATCATGAGAATTTTTCTTATATAAAATTTGGATTCCGCTCTCTTTAAATCAAGGACCGTTACTCTACTACCAGGGTTTACAGTTATACTAAGAAGAAAAGTTGAGTATTCTCTTTTTTCGTGAAAATTATCAACAAGATTTAGAGCGAATCAATATGATTTCCTATAAAACTTGATATCGTGATAAGAACCAAACGATTTTTGTGAAACACGATCTGAAAGGAATGTTGAAGTGTATAGGGTAGAAATTTTGCACCCACTCCCTCCCTCCACAGACCGTGACAGAGAAACTGTAGTTGTAATGCATCTGATAAACGGTTAGCTACAAATGTGTCGCAAAGAAACGGAACAAAAGGATTTCCATTTAATTTGTAACAATAGATTCATCGTTTTATGCATTTTTAATCCCACAAGGGATTGCGCTAACAGCTTTTTTTATTATTATTATCATACTATTTCTATAAATATAATAGACTTTAAAAAGATTGATTTGATTTAGGATATCAATTATTTTGATACAAATCCAGCGGGTGTATTAAATAGAAAATTATTTGAGTAAATAGAATTTATTTTTATTTCAATAAAAAATTATATTTTTATTTTATATATTTTGTAGTAATATAAATATGATAAATAAAGGGATTGGTTTTGAATTATCAGCATTAATTGGAACAATAATTTGTAGTATAATCAGTATTATTGTTTGTTTTTTCTTTAGTTGGAAATTAACTTTAATTATGATAAGTACAATCCCCTTTGTTTTTGTTGGTTTACAAATATTTTCAAAAGTATTTACGAATATAGTTTATTAAGGTTATTCTTAAACAAGTATTTCTTATAGTTGACAAATAAAGAAACCAAAAATGAATTAGCATCATATGCAAAAGCTGGTCAAATTGTTCAAGAAGTATTTAGTTCAATTCGTACTGTTTTGTCATTGAATGGTGGAAAATTTGAATTAGAACGGTAGATTATTTTCACTTTTAAAGCATAATCTTCAAAATTTATTCTTAGTTATCAAAAAGCTGTGTTAGATACAACTAAATCTAATATACGTAAAGGTTCTGTTCTTGGTCTTTTTATTGGTTGGTTAATATTCATTTCATATTTGATAAATTCAATTGGATTTATTTTTTCTTCAATTCTTTTACATGATGATAATCAATTAAATATTAGCGATATTCTTGTTGTAAGATATTTTCCATATAGATTAAATTGAAAAATAATATTTATTTTTCCAATAGGTAATTAATGTATTTGCACAAGGCGTATCTGTTTTTGGTTATATAGGTCCTTTTATACAATCAGCTTTAGAAGCTCGAATTGCAGCAACACCAATTTTTCAACTTATTGATCAGGTTCGATTAATTCACACACAAATTTATTTATTGAATATCTTATTTTATTTTAAGACAGAAAAAAGAAATAAAAATAATAAAGAAAATGCTAATATAAACGGTCATATTCAATTTAAAAATGTTTATTTTAATTATCCGTGTCGAAAAGATATAACTGTTTTGAACAATTTGAATCTAACGATTCAATATGGTAAAACAACTGCTTTAGTTGGTGAAAGTGGTTCTGGTAGATGAAACGTTTCTTTTTTCTTTCATTCGAAAAATGATTTATACCGAAAACTCTAGGAAAAAGTACATGTATTTCACTTCTTCTCAAATATTATGATCATTCATCAGGTGAAATACTAATAAATGATCATTCGATTTCAGAATATGATACTGAACAACTACGATTAAATATTGGTGTCGTCAGTCAAGATCCTGTACTATGACTATTCATTTTTGTTCTTATGAGATTGTAATCTTTCAAATTAATTTTTTCTTATCTAGGTTTTATTTAGTACAACAATTTATGAAAATATATCTTACGGTAAAGAAAATGCAACGAAAGATCAAATTGAGGAAGCTGCCAAACAGGCAAATGCGCACGATTTTATCATGAAATTACCAAATGTTAAAGATTTGAATTTTTTTTTAAAATTACTCTAAAGAAATTTATATTTTGTAGAAATATTCTACGCTTGTTGGAGAAGGTGGAATTCAATTGAGTGTTGGCGAAAAACAACGTATCGCATTAGCTCGTGCTCTAGTTAAACAATCTCAAATACTTTTACTAGATGAAGCAACAAGTGCTCTTGATTGTGAAAATGAATATATTATTCAACAAGCATTAAATAATATTTGTAAAGGTTAGAAAATATTTATTTGTTTTCATTGTTTGCATTATAAATAAATAAATATCAAGGCGTATTATATTTTGGCGCCAAGAATAATCATTGAAAGTCCTTCTGCCAGTTGAAAAGTACCTTAACTGGAAACCGTCAATCTCGTATTTTGATCAACAGTGTACTAATTAAGATTTGATAAATCTTTATGCAATTAGCTTTTTCTTTTGAAAGCATCGTATCATATAAAAAAAATGTACATCTCAAACGATTGTAATTCAGTTTATTGTTAAAATGACATTTGGATAATCTCAATATGAGAAACAATATTATTCTCCTACAAATGATTCACAAATATGAGTAATTTCAAAGATTGTCTTGCTAATGTTCTATTCGAACTAATGTTATCATGAGTTGCTTTTACATTTAGAATCAGCAATAGAGACTTCCCAGGTCTTTAGTCAATTCAAGAAAATTATTCATGAAACAATAAAATCATACAATTTTAGTATAGTGAATAAATAGAAGCAACTTAAATATTTATTATGTGGTATCCACTGTAAAAATCGTCATTTCTATCATATATATACAGTCTACGACAATTGAATTTATACCCTTCGAATTTTTTTATTTTTATTAATATAGGTTTTTTTATCTATTAACCTACTATATATAGGAAGAAAGCCCGAAATGCGCTGCATCTTTTGGTATATTTACATTGACCATAAAATGCAGTTAAAAGGATAAGAAGTGTATCAGAAAAAAAAAGTGACATTTTTTCTTTTTCCAAATTTCGGGTATCTGTACTGGTGTAATCTTTTTTATTTCGCATATATCTCGGCTTCGGTAGATGATAAAACGTTGAATTGTTTTCGAAAAGATGCTCCGTGAAAAGCTCTACAAAAGCTGCATAATTGAATTCTTTTTTATCTACTCTAGTGATTTTTCTGATACTCACAATGAAACAACTTACATAGCAGTATCACTTCCCATCATGTAGAAAATGTTTCGAGGACTTCTCTGGTTCACTACAGGACTTGCTCTATACAGGTTTTGTAGAGCTTTCGACAGCACACCTTTTTGAAAAAAAAATCCATATTCCGTCATTTTCTCAAGTCGAGATATATGGCGATCAAAAAAGTCTTCCAACAGTTCCAGTATGATGGTAAGTGACACTGGCATGTAATTTGTTCATTTTGAGTATCAGAAAAATCACTAGAACAGGTAAAAAAGAATTCGATTATGCAGCTTTTGTAGAGCTTTTCACGGAGCATCTTTTGGAAAAAAAATCAACGCTCTATCATTTACCGAAGCCGAGATATATGCGAAATAAAAAATTTTACAACATTATGAACATTGTGGCAAAAAAGAAAAAGTGACTTTTTCGTCTAATACACTTTTTATACTTTAAACTGCATTTGATAGGCAATGTAAATATACCAAAAGATGCAGCGCATTTCGGGCTTTCTTCCTATATATAGTAGGTTAATAGATAAAAAAACCTATATTGATAAAAATAAAAAAATTCGAAGGGTATAAATTCAATTTTCGTAGACTGTATATACACGTTCGATTAGAGCTCATGATAGTCAAACAATCGGAGTTGAATCTAATTTAATTTGTACTTTACCACGTGAATTTGAAGAATATTTCATATACTATAGGTCGTACTATTGTAATCGTTGCTCATCGTTTAACAACAATTCGAAATGCTGATTATATCTATGTATTAGATCATGGTTATGTGATAGAACAAGGAACACATCAATCATTAATGGAAATCGAAAATGGAAAATATCGAACGATGTCTAATTATCAACAAATTGAAATTCAAGCTGATCATCACGATAAAATATATTCTATGATGCAACAAGAAATAGTAGAAGATAAACAAGAAATAATCGATAACGATCAACCAAAAATTAGTAAGAAAATATTTGAATATATTTCTAATATATTAATTTCTGGTGATAGATTATTCTGCTTCGATCAGCACACATCAAGTATGATAATAAATTATTGAAATAAATCTTTTTTTTCTCAATTATTCTTTCAGAAGAATTTTGCATCATCCAATCGCTGGTTGATCTTCCTGCGACTTTTATCTATGAACAAACCTGAATGGATAATGATAATGATTGGATCTATAGCATGTTTAGCTAATGGATTTATTCAACCGATCTTCGCTCTTCTACTCACAAATATTATCAAAGTAAATGAACAAAATATCTTTAATAGAACATTGATAGAATATCTGCATTGTAGAAATTAAACAATCGCAATTACGAAGAACAACCAACAAAAGTCATTCATGCCAGTCTATTACTTTTATGTTTGGGCATTGGATCTTTCATCATTCGAATCTTTCAAGTGAGAGTAGTATTATATGATGATAAATATCAGTATATATATATTATTTTTAGTTTACAGCATTTGCTGTAGCAGGATCCAAGTTAACAGAACGTATTCGTACAAAAGCTTTTGCTTGTCTTCTTCGTCAAGAAGTTGCTTATTTTGATCGAAGTGAAAATAGTTCTGGTGCTATTTGTCATCATCTGTTATCTGATGCTTTATCTATTCAACAAATAGCTGCTACCAGATTAGGTTATATTTGCGAAACTTTAGCTATGTTTATACTTGGAATTATTCTCGGGTTTTTATTTAATTATCAATTTACTTTAATTGTTATATTTATTCTTTTTATTGTTGCTATGCTTACCTATATTAATATTATATTTGAAATGCGTTTGCATAAAGAATGTAGGGAAATTCTTCAGCAAGCAAGTTCAGTAAGAGAATTCTTAATTTATTAATTATAAAAGTAATAGTTTACTAGTTTCACTTTTCTTGATTTAGATATCTGCAGAAGTGCTTCATAATATGCGCACAGTAAAATATTTATCAATGGAGAAAAGATTTATAAAACAATATAGTGAACTTATACTACAATGTTTCGTGTTAGTATCGTCATAAATAAACGGTCATTCGAGAATAATCGATCTCACAGTATTTAATCAATACTTTGGTCAAATCTAGAGCCCGCCGAGTACAAGTTCAAAAAAGTTTGACTCCAGTGAGCTGTACTTCTTTGAGAAATGAACTTGAGCCTCTTTGAGTAATAGAAGATCTTTCTTGGATGAATAATTCAGTGGACGTAATAGATACGCGCTATGAATCAATTAATCTTTTCGAAAAATTAAATATTTAGTTAAATTCTTCAGGGTTTTATACTAAAAGCCTGAAAAGACAAAGATCTTAATTAAAAATTATGGAAATAAATGAAACAATACAGAAGATCCTCCTGAGAACTTTGTACATTTGGACATCATAGAAGATCCAGAGTCTTCTTCAGATTCGAAATTTTCGATTCGACTACCTCTCTTTAGTGTTATACATTATTGTATAAAAATTGTTAATGTCGACGTTATTTCTCATTAATATGGAGAATATGTTCTATGACACAAATATACAGTTTTCTTTCTGTTTGCAAGAATTTGTGTCATTATTCTATCTTCATGTTGTAAAGTTTCTTTGTCTATGTTCCGAATCGATCCAGTAATGTCAAATATTTGTTTTATTTTGAGAATAAATTTCGTACTACGATGATTCTGTAAAAACATTACCCTGAAAAATAATCGATTTTCACGATCTCCAGTCTATGCAACGTAATATCTTACAGTCACTTTCTGAACTGAAGTTTTCTCCCAGTTTCAAGGAGTATTGAACTGGATATCTTCTGGTAAAATTACTGTGAGACCGACTATTATTAAAACATTTATGAAAATATTTGAATAATATTTTTTTGTAGAATATCGAAAAAATATGTACTATTATCATCGATAACTTTTGGTGTATTTTGGTCATCGAAGCCATTTGTTGTTGCTGCTTTGTATTGGCATTCGCTTGTTCTTGCTGAAAAGAAAGAATTAGAATGGAATAATATAATCATGTAAATATTTTAATGAATTTCATATATATATGATTATTATTGATTTGTAAATTTAGTGTTTTTGCATTTGCAACTTTTTTTATTCAATCACTAAGAATTGTTACGATCATGTAATTCATCTTCAATCTTAATCTAAATTCTATAATAATAATTATCATTGTTCTATAGGATACGAGATATGGGTACATCGCTTTCAGCTGCACAAAATTTTTTTAATTTATTTGATCGAGTATCATTCATCGACAGTAGTTCAACAGAAGGAATGATATTGGTAATAAATTAGTGATTTATTTTCTAACAGTCTATCTATCATCATAGAGTAATGAGCTTGGTGATATTCGATTTGATCGTGTTAAATTTTCTTATCCATGTCGACGAACATCGATTGTTCTTAACATATTGAAATTAATAATTAAATCTAGTAATTATAAAATTTAATTCGTATTGATTTATTAATTAAAATTTTTTTCTTGTATAGGACAAAAAGTAGCATTTGTTGGTATGTTTATTAAACTTCAATTCAAAATTTTTTATTTATCTCGTGAGCTAAAAAGGAAATGCTACACATTCGTTTCTTTCCCATCTAATATATAAAGAAGAATGTTTGTTTGTTTGTTCTTTATGCATTCAGTCCCTGTAAGAGCTAGAATAGCCAAACTTTGCATGGCACACCCTTGGGTCTAGGGGAAGTTCAAGGCGGGGTCGACGGGACCAAGAGAGGGGATGAAAAAGTCCCCCACAGGTTTCAAAAAATAATGGGAAAATTTTCGGATTTTTTAAAAATTGTCGAAAATGTTTTCCGACTTCCAAAGTATTCTCCTCCAGTTTTTATCTCTTCAAGCTGTCCCTGCGCCAAGGGCTACTTTTTAATCAAAAACTTTAATCTCCGACGTACTTAGTAACCTCATTGTTGGAGCACTACAGTAAGTGTCCCATTCAAAAAATTCGTGTGTGCGACTGTTTTCTCAATAACTCGAGAACGAAAGGAGATAAAGACCTGCTGTTTTCGCCATTCGACACAGGAGATTCTAGGGTATAAAATTATGCTCAAAGGACAAGTATCGATAAGGCCATTTTTTCGCCCAAAAAATTTC